GCTTCCCCGGGGAGCGCTGGGTGAGTGTCGGGGGCGAAGGGAGCTCCCGGCCCCGCCCCCCGGGCTCCCCTTTCCCTGCGCCGGGCTGGCCCGGGAGAGCAGCGGGGGGAGCCGGGACTGGGGCTCCAGCTCTGCCCCCGGGGGCAGGAGGGGAGTGAATCCGGCGGGGGCGGAGGGGGAGACGGGGGTCTGTGCTGGTGGAGTGGGATCCGTTGCCCGGGCTGCCAGTGACAGATCACTTGGTTCTCCCCGAGCCTGCCGGCCAGTGATGAGTTGGGGTCACCCAGCGGCCAGACACAATTCATTGCTGTCGCAGTGGGCAGGGGTCTGGCGGTCGTCCCCAGCGTGGCTGGAGATGCTGGAAGTGGTGCAGTTCTTCTGCATCGCCTCCTGTTTAAACGGTATTGGGCATCCACCTGAACAAAATCACCCAAAGGGCCGTAATGCATAGAAACAGTGTTTAATTTTGACCAGATTTGCAGGCCGTATACATGTTCTGCATTTTTCTGTACTGTTTTGACTTTGGTTAAAGCAAAAGTCTGTAGTCACAGGACAGTATGAGCTGAAAGGAAATATTAATTGGGCCCAGGCAAGAAGGAGAAGCTCTCTCTAGTCTAGTGGGTAGACTATTCATGTGACATGGGGGTTCAATTTCTCCTGCCTGCTGAGGAGAAGAAGGGGTTTAGCTTGGCATCTCCCAGTGTAGGCTCCTCTTTTAATTAGCTATGACTTGGTGGTCCAAATATGCGGATCACTGTTTTCCGCCCATGGGTCAGGCTGTGGGAGACTCCTGTTCAAATCCCTCCTCCGTGAAGGGATTTGAACAGGGGTGTCCCACCTCCCAGGGACCTCTCCCACCTCCTGCCACACCACAGGAACCTGAGAGGTGGGCGATCATTGTTTCCACCTCCTCTGTTTCCAGAAAGACAAGGGCCTCCTGAGAAAGGAGGGGATTTAAACAAGGGCCTCTCACCTGGGAGGTGATTCAATTTTGTCCAAACCTCCTCTTAACAGGCTGAGGGAGGATTTGAACTGGGGTCTCCCACTTTCTATGTAAGTAGCCTACCCACTGGGCTACAGAGTGAGCCTAATTTTCTTGCTGGTCCAATTACTATTTAATTAAAGTGGAACAGCTTCAAGAGGCAAAAGTGAGGGAAGCTCCCACTTAAACCCCTTGTCCTCATCTGGTAGAGGGCAGACTTGAACTAGCAACTCTGAGTTTCCCAGAGAAGTAGCCTAACTGCTGTAGCGTAGAGGGCTTCTTGTCTTTGCTTTGGCCCAAACACTATTTAATTTACATGGAACAACTGCAAGAGGACAGCCCTAAGAAGCTTGTAGTTCAATCCCCATCTCCTCATTAGAGAGACAGTGGTATTGAACCAACCACACCAAGTTTCCCAGGGAAATAGCCTAACCACTGTAGGATAGATGACTTTTCACTTTTGCTTTGGCCCAATTACTAATTAATTTACGGGGAACCGCTTCAAAAGGCAAGACTGAACGAGTTCCCCATTCAAACCCCTTCTCCTTACTCAGCAGTGAAAGGAGTTGAACCCATGATGCTAAGGATCCCAGGGGAGTAACCTAACCACTGTAGCATAGAGGGCTTCTTGACTTTGTTTTGGCCCAATTAATATTTAATTAAAGTGGAACAGCTTCCCAGAGGCAAAACCTCAGGAGCTCCCAGTTCAAACCACATCTCATCATCATCTAGTACAGGGAGAAATTAAACTAGGAACTCCAAGTTTCCCCACTTGGGTAGCTTAACAAGTGTAACATAAATGGCTGCTTGTTTTTTGTTTTGGCCCAATTACTATTTAATTAAAGTGGAATAGCTTTAAGAGGAAAGATTCAGGGAGTTTTTGAGTCAAATCTTGTCACCTCAAGGGGAGATTTGAACCTGTATTACTAAGGCTCCCAGGGCATCATCTCAGCCACTGTGCTATAGAGGGTACTTGATTTTTTGGCTCAATTAAACTGGTATCGGTTCAAGAGGCAAGACTGAGGGCGCTCCTATTCAAATACCTCCTCATTTCATAGAGGGAGGAATTGAATCAGCAAATCCACATCTCACAAGCAAGGCACTGAATGCTTCTATTACAGGGGACTCTTAGTTCTTTGCTTGACCCAATTAATATTGAGTTAAAGGGGAACAGCTTCCCAAGGCAAGAGCCTGCATCTCATCAGATAGAGGGAAGAATTGACTCCACAGCTCCAGCAGTCCAGGGGAGTAGCCTACCCACTCTATTGTAGAGGACTTGTCTGTTTTGCTTTGGCCCAATTATTATTTAATTAAAGTTAAACAGCTTCAAGAGAGAAGGAGTTGCTAGTTTATCTGCTACATGGGGAAATGGAACCAGCATTAGCTAAGAGACCTCAGGGGGAGAAGCCTAACCACTGTACTATAGAGGCTCCTTGGGAAGTTATCAGTCCAATTTATAGTTAATTAAAGTAGAACAGCTTCAAGAGTAAAAACTGAGGGAGCGCCCACTTCAAATCCCTTCTCCTCATCAAGTAAAGGGAAGAATTGAAGCAGGGTCTTTAATGCACCACGTGTTTAGCCTCACCACTGTACCATAGAGCACTTCTCACTTGGACTTTGGCCCCCTTAATATTTAATTCACGTGGAACAGCTTCAAGAGGAAACACTGACGAAGTGCCCGCTTCAGATCCCTTCTGCTCATCGAGCCACATCTTCAACATTCCACGTGAATAGTGTAACCACTATATTACAGGGGGCTTCTCACGTGCTTTGGCCCAATTAATATTTTCTTCAAGTGGAACGGCTTGAAAAGGCAAGCTAACAGGAGCTCCCAGTTCAAATTCCTTCTCAGCTGGTAGAGAGAGAAGCCTCTCCAAAAGCCTACGAGAGTCTCGTAACCACTCTGCTATTGAGTGCTTCTTGGGCTTATTTTGGCCCAATTAATATTGAATTAAAGTGGAACAACTTCAAGGAGAGAGCCTGAGGGAGCTTCCAGTTCATGTCCTGGCAGCTAGAGGGAGAAATTGAAGCTGGGGGTCTCCAACACACCAAGTGAGTCCCCTAACTCCCTCACTGTAGAGGGCTTAATTAACATAGCCCAGCTTCAACTAGAAAAGAACACCCCACAGTGGAATAGCCCTTAATTCAGTTATTAGGCCATATGCATTAAGTGCTGACAGATCCATATTCATCTCCTTTCTTTTAAGATAGGCAGGGAATTAAACCATCTGTCATGGTACAGGCCACGACCCTAAGCACTAAGCTAACAGCAAAATGGAAGATTGCTGTCATCTCTCCTCAGCAGTTTTGTGTGGTGCTGGGCAGGTACCTAGCAATTTCACAAGACATGGTTTAGGCACTTAAGTCAGCTGCCTTCAGGCAAGGATTTTGTGGCTGTGGCTTTCAAGCAGAGACAGACGCACCTCACTCCATGAAAGGCAACACTTAGCATTGCCCTGATCAGCCATTGTCTCACATCAAAGATGATCCAACCATCTAGTAGGCAACTACATCTTTGCTGGTTGAGGGCTTTATAAATTACAGGCATTACTTTGAATCGATGGCCTGACCTAAGTAGCATGTGCTCAGTAACGCTAGCAAGAGTTAAATGTAGGTAATGTGGCATCTTTATTGTACAGTGGTAAGAACCAAGTATCTCTGGATAATGTGCACTGCAAATTGTTTGCTAAAAACAAAACAAATGAGGAAATGCCACCTTCAATGGCCTCCTTCAGGCAGCACCTAAAAAGTGTATTTTATCAGTCACATATATGGAATCACACAACAGTTCAGTATCTTCCAGTGGCCCCTGTCAGCAATGGATGGGTAGTAGATGGCACAGGACCCCTTGTTGCTAAAGTGAGGGTGCTGTCAACTGCTCCAAAAGCCACCCTCACCCCTGTCTTGTGAGAGTATGTGTGCAGGAAGGAGCTGTGAGTGCCGCAGGTGTGCTCTGATGCATGCCACTGTGATAGTGACAAGTGTAGCAATGGAGTAGTGAACACATTGGACCCAGATTCTGAGGCAGAGTAAAAATGTTTCAACTGTCTGCAACTTATTGTGAGCATTTTTCTGAGTAAATATAGCTCAAAGTAGTTTTATGTTAGCCATTCAGTAGCTCAGAGTTACAGGTAGGGGTTAATTAAGAATACAGAGCTATACTTAGTTATTCACACAATATATTCATACAAGACGTTGTACAGCACTGCTACTTAGTCATCACTTTTACATTAGTAATGTACATGTATTGCCCTGTGAAGATACAGGGGTACCATGTGTGCTTTAGACTTATGGCTCCATCTGAGCAGATAACATATATTTCTGAGGTTGTATAATTAAGGGGTAGGGATCTTATCTGCATAACTTCATAAAATAGACAACTTTTCTGAAATGAGACCATTCTGCAAATGATAAATATTTTGATGTATTGTATGGTACAAAGAAGCTCATACTGTCATGTGAATGTAGACTTTGGTTTTAAGAAAAGGCAAAGTAGTACAGGAAAATGCATAAAATATACCACGTAGGGCTAAATAAAACTCAAACATTCCAAAACAATGCACTATGTAGTCAAAATCGTACTGTCAATTGTATTTAGAAACTATCTGCCCATTTTAGTGAAAATTAAACTATGTTTCTATAATGACAGGTTTCAGAGTAGCAACCGTGTTAGTCTGTATCCGCAAAAAGAAGAACAGGAGTACTTGTGGCACCTTAGAGACTAACAAATGTATTAGAGCATAAGCTTTCGTGGACGCATCCGAAGAAGTGGGCTGTAGTCCATGAAAGCTTATGCTCTAATATATTTGTTAGTCTCTAAGGTGCCACAAGTACTCCTATGTTTCTATAAGTTACAGCCTTTCTGGGATTTTATGATTTTTGCTGATTGGATGCCCGATAACATTTAAACAGTACATGGTATAGAAAAACTGCACCACTTCCAGTCTCTGCAGCCACGGTGGTGATGACCACCCGATACAGGTAGACGTGATAGCACTGACTTTTTTTTTTTTTTTTAAAGTTAATGGGTCATTTGTCCTTACATCTAAGGCATTAGAAAGCTGCAGGAACAGTCTGGGAAGTTCTGTTTTTGACATTTCAATTGAATGCATCGGATTAGTTTTAAGTGTTTTGTAAAACATCACATGCTTAGTGTAATTTTCAGATTCATTTCTTCTCTCCTTTAAAAAAGTGTGTCACATCTGTTGGTGATTAGTGGCTTCTCTGTAAAAGAATCAGATTTTTTTCCACTGTAGTCTGTTTTTTCTGTCTGCGTATCTGTGTTGTCCTTCAGTCAGGCCCAGGCCTTAGCATTCCGGACAACTGTTGCTAGGTTCCACTGTGTGGGAAAGGAAAACAAAAGTACCTTTTCAATCAGTGAGAAAACACCTTTAAGATTTCAAAAGACTTCTATGGTTTATTTTTAAATGGAATCTAGGTATTTAAACTGACAAAAAGTGAAACAGCCCTTCAGCTGACATTAGCCGTATACAAAAGTAGGCAGACTATACTTAACTAGTGACACCACACTGATAAATGAAGGGCAACTATTATTTTTTGGTGGTTGATTTTATAGAATAATTTGTTTTAAAATGTGTAATGTAAAATTATCTTCTTATGTGGTGAAGACTCTTCAATACGTAAATCAACTAAAGGAAACAGTCTCTAATTAAACAATTATAGCAGCAGGATATGAACTCACATCTCCTCCACCCTATTCACTTCACAATCTTTCTAAGACTATTCCAATTTTAGCATTGGGTGGAGATTGCAAAGTCCTGCACCCATGTAATCACTGAAGATCCTACATCATTCTTAAAGCATTCATCCTGGCTTTCTGCTCAAATTTAAGTACATGAGTGCCAAATGCTACCGGCATAGAGGCCCTTCACAAACATTCTTTTTGGTCTCTTCCTTACAGGTCTTCCATCTTAAAAAGAGAAGGCACATAAGGGGACTGAATCTATTGTTAGCTTCACAGAAGAAACACAGTTGGTGAACGCTACTGCATGAGCTTACTTATGGTTTTTCATAAGACTTTGGTACATTCCAGATCCCACTATGGAGAATAACTAGGTTATTCTTCTAGCAGGGTGTCAGTAGCTCTTTGGCAAAAAATAGGAGAAAAGGAACTGGAGAAGGTTGAGGTCTGCAGTGGGCAGGCTGAGTTTCCTTTGACGAGATCTGCAGGGAGAATGGCTGTATGAGTGACCGTGACAGATCTCCTTTTGTACGCAGGAGTCTGTAAAATACAGAAAACAAGATTAATAGGCAGCAGGTTTAGTAATAGGCAGCAGCGTTAGAACAAAGAAAAACCAAGTACTTCACACAAGGCACAGTCCACCTGCAGAACTTGTTGCCATGGGATATGGTGAAGGCCAAAAGCATAACTGGGTTAAAAAACAAATTAGATAAGTTCATGGAGGATAGGTCTGTCAACGGCTATTAGCCAAGATGGTCAGTGATACCACCCCATACACTGTATTCCCCCTAAACCCCCAACTGCCAGAAGCTGGGACTGGATGACAGGATGGATTATTTGGTAATTGCCCTGTTCTGTTCATTTCCTCTGAAGCGTCTGTCACTGACCACTGTCAGACACAGGATACGGGGCTAGGTAGACAATTTGGTCTGACCTAGTATGGCTTGTTACTATAACTAGATTGCTTCCTGACCCCAGACTCCATCCTTTTTCAAAACGTAAGTGTGGGGTAGCAGTATTACCCTTCCACCCAATGAAAGCAGCACCCCACACTTCTATTAGCCAGCTCCAATTTCACACACAAACTTTTCCATCAGATGGTAATGTTGTAGTGCCTAGGAGCTCCGGTGGTACTCTAGGGCCCCCATTGTGCTAGGCGCTGTGCAAACACACAACAAAAATATGGTCCCTGCCCCAAGGATATTAGTCTTAAGACAAGAGTTAACAGATGGACAGAGACAGACCAGTGGAGGAGTACAGGAGAATAGATGATATTGGTCAACATGGTGGGCTGTGGTCTCAGCACACCAGCAGCCTAATTATTACCAAATTTTTTGGTAGGCAGCATGGCACAGGAGAGATTTGAAGGGAGATATGTGCACATGTTACCTGGGAGTTCCTCCCAGCTATGAAGAGCAGCATGGCAAAAGGCACGAAGAACGGGCTTATTTGAAGATTTAACAAGTGGGCTTAGAGGCTGGCATCATAGTCTAATTGGAGGTGGGAGTTGACTTTTGAGACTGAATGAGAGATGATAGGGTTGGGATAGGTCATGAAGGGCCCTTGAAAGTGAAGACAAGTAGCTTATGTTCATGACAACGGAGAAGACTGAGCCAATGAAAGAATGTAATGATCAAAGCATGGGCTAAAAAAATGATCTTTGCAATAGCCTTCTGAATGGTTATGAGTGGGGCAAGATAGCATTTGTCAAGGCCGGAAAAGGATGTTACAGTAATCATGATATGAGGTGGTGAGAGCTTAGACAAGAGTTTTAGCTGTGTGTGTGGATGGATGGAAAATCTATCTTAAAGACGTTGTGCAGAAAGAATCTGCAAGACTAAGGCTTTGTCTACACTACCACTTTTGTCGGTGAAACTTTTTGTCCATCAGATGAGTGGGGGGGGGGAACCTCCCCTGACCAATATAAGTTTCACCGGCAAAAGTGCTGGTGTCAGCAGGAGAAGCTCTGCTGCTGACATAGGTAATGCTATTGGGGGTAGTTTAATTAATTTGAAGAGCAGCTACACAGGAGACCTTACAGTTGTACCGCTGTAAGGTCCATAGTGTAGACATAGCCTTAGACATATCCTGGATGTGAAGACTTAGACCTCTCTTCAAGTTCTCCTTTGAATGTTTTTAGGTCTTTAAATCTGACTCACTGAAAATCACTTGAATTCATCTCTATGTTAATGCAATATTAGGATAAGCTTTTTTTAAAAAAGCTTTTCTATTATTCAAACTGAAAAAAGTATTACACTACATCATTAACGGTTTACCCTTTACTGTTTACGCTGGTAGCGGATGTTTATTTGGAATCTGGACTTTCAGCATAATAATGGTGAAACCTAATGACAAATGTAACCCACTAGATACTAGTAACCAAGAAATGACTTTTTTCCAGTTGGAGTTCATGTAATTAGGAACATAAGAGCATTAATCTTGAATCATTAGGCAGTTGTGATACCAGTACCTTGCCATTTTTTACCAATGCCAAACTACCAACTGATAGTCTTCCAGATTTCCTTCCTGTTAATACCATCTTAAAATACAGGCGCAATAAAAATTAATGTTAAAATACCTGGAAGTGAAGACACTTATCTTTCTTGAAACTGGGTGGGCAGATATCAGAGTTTTGCAATGGTAATCTGTTTCGAACTTTTAACAAACAAACACACAGCATTGTTTTTGGAAGTTCTTCTTCCTAAGACTCTCTTATCTTAAGAAAAATTAAGAGCCAATTTTCTCTTTTTATTCCATATTTCTTTTCCGTTTTAATTGTGATATTTAGTGACTAGTTCATCTGTCTTTTTGGGTAACTTAACTTTCTTACTCCTTACTTAAAAAACGTAAACGTCTCAGGGTACATCTATATTATAAGCACTACAGTGACACAGCTGCAGTTACGTTGCTGTATTGTAGACACTTGCTAAAGTGACTGAAGGGGATTTTTCATCGCTGTAGTAAATCCACCCCCTCGAGAGGCAGTAGCTAGATCAACGGAAGATGTCTAGTAGTATCTACATCAGAGTGGGCAAACTTTTTGGCCCAAGGGCCACATCTGAGTATGGAAATTTATGGCAGGCCATGAATGCTCACTAAATTGGGGGTGGGGGTGCGGGCTCTGGGGTGGGGCTGGGTATGAGGGGGTGGGAGTGCAGGAGGGTGCTCCAGGCTGGGACCGAGAGGTTCAGAGGGTGGGAGGGAGGTCAAGCTGGGGCAGGAGGTGGGGCACAGGAGGGAATCAGGGGTGCAGGCTCCGGGCAGCGCTTACCTCAAGCAGCTCCCAGAAGCAGCAGCATGTCCCCCCTCTGGCGGCTACACAGAGGTGTGGCCAGGTGGCTCTGTGCGCTGCCATGTCCGCAGGCACCACCCTTGCAGCTTCCATTGGCTATGGTTCCCAGCCAATGGGAGCTGTGGGGGCGGTGCTGGGGGCAGGGGCAGTGTGCAGAGCCCCCTCGCTGCCCCTATGCTTAGGAGCCAGAAGGGGGACGTGCCACTGCTTCCGGGAGTCGTGCAGAGCCACAGCACACACGGAGTGGGGCAAGCCCCAGAACCCGCTCCCTGGCAGGATCTTGAGGGCTGGATTAAAACATCTGAAGGGCTGGAGGCAGCCCCTAGGCTGTAGTTTGCCCACCCCTGCTCTACATCATAGGTTAGGTCATCTTAACTGTCTCTCTCAGCAGTAGCTCAATCGATGGGAGAGGTCTCTCCGATTGCCTTAGAGCAGCGACACTAGCAGCACAGCTGCATTTCTGCAGCTGGGCCATTGTAAGCTCTCTAGCGTAGCTATAGCCTACACCTCCCACTTTCTATCATACTGCAAGTGCATCACAGTACAGAGACCATAATGGATGCTGTGATTCCTTGATTTGTCTGTGACTTCTCTGTATTTGACTTCCTGCAGGAAGGCTCTAGGTGGGTGGGTTGCTAACCCTCAGGAGGGGAGGCCCCCTGGGGAGGTGTTGAAAGGAAGCCTGCCTGTCACAGGGTATACCACTCACCTCTGGACTGGTGCCTCCTCCTGATACTCTGGGGATTAGCTCAAGGACAACCCCACCCCCACAGTTCACACATTGTCACTCCATCTGCCTGTAGCTCCTCCCGCAGCTTCAGGAACCATAGCGTTCTCTTCATGGCTCAACCCTCTGGCCGTGTCACTGACTGTGCGCCCCACTTCCAGGGGTGGTTTAGCCATCAAGAATCCTAGGTAGTCCTCTCGCTCACTGCCTCAGTACTGTTCACCCAGTGGCTTGTGGGGGAACCTGGGCTTGCCCTCTATTCTGGGTTCTAGCCCTCAGCTCAGCAGTCTGGGCCTTCTCTCTCTGGTCTCACTGCTCAATCCCTGGGCTGCTTCCTATTTTTAGTTCCCCTTTCCTTCCTAGGCCTATCAGTTCCCAAACGTCTCTTCCCAGGAAGTGACTGCAATCTCCACCCACTCCTCCCTTTCCGTTGTGGGCTTTATAGGGCCCGCCTATTCCTGCCCAGCTGAGCCTTTTTAATCAGGGGCCAATATTTGTCTTCTGCAAAAACAGATTGTTCTTTGAGTGATTGTTCACACAGATTCCACAATTGGTACACATGCACCCCCTGGGTTGAAAATCCAGTTCTTTTTGGCTAGAAGTGTCCATTTAGCTGCACCTGTGCCCTTTTCCATTGCTTCCCTCTCCCAGAGGGTACAAAGGATGGAGTGGGCCCAGCCACCTCTCACTTTCTTCTTACTTCCCATGGCCGCAAGACAACCCCACACACTGGCTTTTCTCTCTGCTACCTCCAAGAAAGTGGACAGAAGATATCAGTGTGATATTCCCGAGGATACAATCTGGACAGATGGTCAACTGTGTCCCCTCAATTCTCCAGTCTGGGATGCCCTTGTACACTGTTTTGCTGTGAGAACCACCACTCGTGGCCAGATCACACACAACCTCAAGCATGCAAAAATCACACCCAGTTGAATTACATGAATGCTCTGGCCAGCCATTCATGAATTACATACAGGGCACCACCAGCAACTTCCCAGTCCCAGATCTTGCCCCTAAAATGTTTTTCTTGTACTGCCAACCTCTCTACTGAACAATGCAAGCTCACATAAAGTCCATCATTTCATCAGTGGAAAATGATGTGCACAAATCTTGTTCTCTCAAGTGGAGATTCCCAAATACTTCAATCCAAACACACTGGTTTAGATAAAACAATAAAACAAGTTTATTACCTACAGATAGATTTTAAGTGATTGCAAGTAATGAGGCATAAAAATCAGAATTGGTTACAAAAAAAAAGAAACAAACAGCAAAATGCAAACTAATACCTAATTTCACAAACTAAGCATGCTTAAAAGCAAAAAGGTTTGCCTCCCTGCCAGCTCATAGCCATCTGGATGGATTGCTTCAGCTAGGACCCTCCCCTCCCCCCCCCCCAGTTCAGTGATGCTTCCTTTATGTTTCAAACATTATTGATCTCATGAATGGAGAGAGGTGATTTGGGAGCTTCTGTTTTTTAGTCTTATACCCTTCTCCCCTCTTTGAGGCCTACCTACAGCTGGGGTTCAGGCAACAGCCTGTTTACATGGAAAACCCCCAGTTGTTCCTTTGCCATTATGTAAAGTTCTAGCTCAGGGGTAGGCAACCTTTCAGAAGTGATGTGCCAAGACTTCATTTATTCACTCTAATTTAAGGTTTCGCGTGCCGGTAATACATTTTAATGTTTTTTAGAAGGTCTCTTTCTATAAGTCTACTTTACATACAACAATAGTTTAGTAATATAATATGAACAAGGTTTTCAAAATGTTAAAGAAGCGTCATTTAAACAATGTTTAAACAAGCTTCAATTAAAATGCTGATCTTACACCGCCAGCCTGCTCAGCTCGCTGCCAGCCTGGGGTTCTGTTCACCTAGGCTGGCAGTGGGCTGAACGGAGCCTGCGGTCGGGACGCCGACTGGCAAGGGGCCGGCAGCCAGAATCCCAGACCTGGGGGGGGGGTTCAGGGGAGGTGTGTGGGGGTGCAGGGCAGAAGGCTGGGTGTGTGGGGGGTTCAGGGGTCAGGGCAGAGGGATGGGGGCTGTGGAGGTGCAGGGCAGAAGGCTGGGTGTGGGGGGTTCAGGGGACAGGGCAGAGGGCTGGGGTGCTCCCAGCCCCCTGCCCTGAGCGGCTTACGGCAGGGGGCTGGAAGGGATATGCCCTGTTCCACCCCCTTCCCCAAGGCCCTGACCCTACCTTTTCTCTGCTTCCTCTACGGAGCAGGGACCACGCTGCCACTCCTCCCCCTCCCCCTTGCAAGGGCCATCAGCTGATCGGCGGCAGGGAAAGGGAGGAGGAGGGGCAGGAAAGCACCACACTGGGGGAAGAAGCGGGGGAGGAGGGAAGCTTGGCTGCCGCAGGACCAAGCTTCTGCCTCCTGCCCACGGAGGGGAGAGCGGTGGGCGGGGGGGGGGCTGAGTGGGGCTGGGGGCCGGGACTCCGGCAGGCAGCAGCGTGCCACTCAAAATTGGCTTGCGTGCCCTGTTTGGCACGCGTGCTGTAGGTTGCCGACCCCTGTTCTAGCTCATGCCCTTCTTCCTGCCAGAGAATGGCCACATGGTAGTCCATTTGATTAGGTTTGGGCCTGTTTTTCTAACTTTGGAACATGTCACAGCAACATTATACAGTACAGTGTTCTAACTTTACATACAATGTTGCCAGACATTTTACCAGGGCAGTAAGGTCCAGCAGATTGAGTTTTCACATGATGCCTTGTGATGGGGTCTATCTACTCTGCACTGGGCCCCCAGGGGTTAACTGTGCATTGCAGAGTGAGGAAGCCACATCCCTGCTGAGCATGCCCAGCCTGGAGACCGGGTATAAAGGGAAGCAGCCCAGCTCACTTGGGCTGGACTGCCGAGGAGAAAAGATGTGTATTGTGAGCTCCCTCCATGGACCTGTGGGAGCCCCAGGTCACAGAGGCTAGGCATGCTGAGCCCCAGGTGGACACTGGACAGCCAGTGGTTATCTGGGAGGGGACTGAGTTGCTGCAGACCTTCCCAACAGATGACCCCTGAGCACCCATGGACTGCTGTACTAGGAGACCAGGTAGGAAGTGGCCCAGGGGAAATAGACACTAGTCTGGTCATGAGACTGAAAAAATCTCACTGTTTTGGGCAGATCCCTGCTGACCCAGTGGCACAACGCTCTGCCACAGTTAGGGCCCTGGGCTGGGTCCCAGTGGAGTAGGGTGGGCCTGGGTCCCTCTGCTGCTAGTCCCCCACTGGGGTGACAACGCCCCCACCTTACACCTAGAGTGTTGCTGTTGTCTACCATTCACCAGAGTCAGAACACTAGACTACTGAGACTGTGTATGTGTTTGCTGCTCTGCCCTGACTGAGGGCCTGAGATCCTGGGTGGTGGCGCAATCTACCCTGACCGCTAGGTCATGCTGCCCTGGTAACAGGCCCTAGGGGACCCTGACTGCTAGGTCACACACTCCTGTTTTGTGTGTGAAGCTATCAGAGACTCTCGCAGTTGAGGCATAAGGTCCCTGCTGACTATATGTGACCAGACACCCCTTGATGGGATTTATCTACCTAGGATATGCCTCAAAAGGCATCCTTTGTACAAAATTCGACGTCATTTCTTAAAAAGAATGAACATGGTGTGCAGACTGTCAATCAGGGTCCCCTCAAAGAGGCTTAAATATTTTTGAGCTACCTACACCTGGCTCTGTGGTTGTACAAGCTGTACAGGGCAAAACAGTATGGTCCTCTAAAGTCCATCCCTCGAGAGAGACTCCTTGCCTCCTCTCTGAAAAGCTTGACTTGTTTGGCTGAAAGGTCTGTTTTCCACAAGCCTACAAATGAGGGTAGCAAGTTACTAAGCATTACGGGGGGGGGGGGAGGGTGTTAAACTGGGATGGACTGCCCAATTTTGTGGATAAGCTATCCAAGGAATACTAGGAAGAACTGAAAACACTTTTGGCAGAGGTCTAAAACTGCCAGAACTTCTCTGCAGACTGGATGTGTCTGACACTGCAGACTGGATGTGTCTGACACTGCAGACTGGATGTGTCTGACACTGCAGTGTAAACAATGACCATTGGAATCCCTGAGGATTGCAATCCTGGCAATTCTCCTAATAGAAATTGCAACCCTCA